TTTTTGGTTCAGCGAAATTGGACCGGTATAAGGCAAAACCGGTATAGACAATGCCGGTATAGACAGAGTTGACTGTATATCGAGATGATATTGCTGAGAAAAAACTTGACTATATCCAATAACGAGACTTACTATATAACTTCATTATATCGAGGGAAATTTTAATAATACTGTTTTTGTATCAGGAATTCTTTACTATAACGCGAAATTCACTGTATCGAGCCTTGACTATATCGAGGTTTGACTGTATACAGTTAGTGACCTTTAAACACTAAGCTTTTACACTACGACTTCATTTATGTCGATGAGCGACACTAATCCTGGATAATACAACTGTCCTCGAGTAAGCTGCAATTATCTACCGTGGGATTAATTCAATATTGGGGGTAATTCAAACGCGTCTCAATAAGTAACAATTAATTATGCCACTCGAATAACCGCGGCGATTATTCTTCTCCGATATGGAGTAGTGGTTGCAATGGCTATGTCGAATAATTCAGGGAATAGAATATGATCAGAGTAATGAGCTACTCGTTTATTAACAATAAGATATGAACAACTAATATTAAAGGAATCGAAATGAATTAAAGCGACCACACTGAAACCAACTGACTTCTACACTGCTTTTATATATCTTTCGAACTACTATTTGATCTAAATTTAGCAACGTCCAATTACTGCCATGTTTATTGTGTTGACGCTTTTTCGACACGCATGTCGCTTTCGACTATTACGATGCGTAGCTGTGCGATGGCAATTATGTCTTTTTCGACAGGTAATACGGAATCCAAATGATGTCGACAGGTAGTACAGGTGCATTCCCGCGTGTCATCATTATTGTTGCCTTAATATAATACCACCATTCATCAGCACGATTACCCATTTATCTACTTTGGAGAAGACAATCTTCCAAGAATTCATTCAATTAATGCTCTGTAGAATTATATATGACAAAGTTCTTCGTGTGAGCCAGAAACTATACAGAGAGAGTGAATCGAGTGGATCGAGTATTTGTGCTAGATTTGATATCACAGAAAGTAGAAAACCCGTGCCAGCAACCAATAAATGGGTTTCAAATTGTTAATTTGATTTTTGATAATTTTTTTGACGAGTATATAGATAAAACTCATAACGAAGCCTTAAACGCTAGGGTGTAACACAAACAGTCAGCCCCCTAGAAATTGGAAGTATCACATTATCACATTTAACTCGCTAGAAAATTTTCAGGTGGTAAATATAAACAGTCATATGCCATAGAACATTTAGAAGGAGGGGAGGTGCTTATTTTCGGAACTATATGGTAATTGTTAAAAACTATATCAACAATAAAGGGCAGGACTCAAAATCTTGCATGTGACTTGTGTGGCTTACAGTCACATCAAAGTATTATTTTCACCGTATAGTTCTGAAAGAAGCACCTTTTAACAATAGGGCGTGCTTATTTTGGAGGTCACAACCTCGTGTAATATCACAAGTTTGCAGGTGTGTAAAACAGCAACAGTAAAAATTTTGGGGAGATGCTTATTTCCGGAACTATACGGTAGTGACATCACAACTCATTGTTTTTTTACTGATAATGATTTCGTGATAAATTAATTGATCGAATCGTAGAAACATTTGGAAGGATTGTGGTGTAGGTGATTATTTTCGGAGGTAAAAATTTTGGGGAGGTGCTTATTTTCAGTAGTGACATCATAACTCATTTGTTACCGTATAGTTCCAAACCATTTAACAATAGTAATAGGAGGTCGCTATTTCGTGTAAGGTTTGCAGGGTGTAAATATAAACAGTCACATGTATATAGAAACTTTTAGAAGGATTAGTGTATATTTATCGATTATTGTAGATATTGATATGCTCAAGGGGTTATTGGCCCATCCTAAATTGAGCTAGATATATATTTCGAATTTACCGGATCATTGTGCTTAGTCACGAGAGGATACGAGTATTTACGCACGCTCTTTCTATTTCTAGCTTAATAAACGTAAAATCGGCTAAGCCACACCTCTATTTAGCAACCGTCTTACAGTTTGTTCAATTATGAGAGGATATCCCGCGTGACAAGCGATGATACGAAGACAAAGTTAACAATAAACAATGAATATCTTTTGTTATGCATGATTACGATAACAATAACAGTCTTAATTTAGACTTGAAGACGTAATTTACACCTCTTGCTATAATCAGTATCTGTACACATTGTTGTGATATCCGACCGCCCTTATTTGTGAAGTTATATATATATCCGCTGCTCACGCAAATTGATCTGAGCAATTCGGAGGATATACTCAAAGGATCGAAATACTCTATACCCCCTAAAAATGTTCAAAAAAATATTTCCACCAAAGGCTCTATTTACCCCAAGACGCGCTACTATACCAAGATACGCTTCTCGACATATACCATCTTCTGACCATATTAATATAAGCGTTGGCACCTTAATTGCTCTCGTCTGTTCTGTCGGAGGGGGGACAATTGCAGTAGCACGAATGATCAAAGAAGTCATGGAGGGACATAAATCGTTCGAAAGTGTAAGCGATACAAAGTTATTTGATGATCATTCCCTAATATAAGTACACAATTCCTAATTTTAAATGTCTCGCTCAATCTAGCGATTTGACAAAGTGGAAACTCGTCTCAACCGATTAGAAGATCATGTCGTCGGCTTTGCCAAAGAAAATGAGTATATTAAGGCGATGCTAGAGAACAAGTCGGAGGGCAAGCCGATCGAAGAAAAAAAAAATAAACCTCCGTTTGCAAATCTACGAGTGATATCGAGGAAAGTTACTGACTTTCTCCGACCCAGATGTTTTATGTATAATTTTATATTACGTGGGGGGGCTGAAAAGTTTTGCGTGTGGCTCTCTAACTCGAGATTGCGTCAATTTAACTAAAAATTGGAATAA